GTCCAAGATTATGCCGGCAGTGCCTCCTTGGGTTACATGCTTAAACTCAAGGGCCTTTCCCCAACCTTCAACAACACTGATGTAGCCTTCATCCTCACTGCACTGGGGACAATCATAACAGGGGAGGCGGAGGGGACCACCACCCCTCCGCCCCCATTTTGCCCTGCCATTCTACATCCACCACTCTCCAACTGCCCATGCACACGCTCCCTTGCACCCTTTTTCCTCGCACTCCCTATACTGTGGCAGAGATGCCACCCTATCATAACAGGGAAGTGGAGGGGACTGCCACCGCTCTGCCCCCATTTTGCCCTGCCATTCTATGCCCACCGCTCCCCAACTGCCCACGCACACGCTCCCTTGCACCCTTTTTCCTCATGCTCCCTACACCGTGGCAGAGATGCCACCCTAAGCCCACCCTAAGCCATCCCTCCCTTTTGCCGCTTCAGCCACTCCCCCTCTAATGACCCCCTAGGATCTTGGAGACACGTGGCCTCCACCTATCCCTGTGGTATTAAGATCTCCCATACCAACCATGAATCAATACTCGGTAACTGGGACCTCTGTGGTCCGCATGCCTGCATGGACATCAGGCTGTTACTGGCACAGCAGGGCCTTCAGCTTTCTGACGGCACTTACACTAACACCAATCCCTCTACTTGTGCCAAAAACAAAATCCTTACATCCATTGATCACACAACATCCTGGCCCCCTACCCCCATTTGCATGTGGCCCCCATTTGCCTTATTGCTAGCCAATGTTACCTCCGACCCTCGGGGATGACTCAACTGCTCTGATACCAACACCTCTTGTGTACTGGCAGCCTGATGGAACCATCCAGGCCACATAATTCTCTTTATGTGAGAACACGTGGCTCTTTGGGTTCCAGTCACCAATGCAACCCACTTCCATGCTGTCACCCTTATAGAGCGGACAGCCTTGTCACAAGCCCCCCACTTAAAATGGGATTTTGGGGTCACTGACGCTCTCATCTCAGCCATTATCCTTGCATTAGGTTCGGCCACCACCGCTGCGGTGGCTATCACCCAATCCTCCACTACTGTGGAGACACTCAATGAGGCCGTCTCCAAAACCTCCTCTACCTTTCACACTCAGCCCCTTATCAATCAGCATCTTCACCAAGCAATTAATGTGTTACAAAAACAAATTGATCTAAGTGAAGAGCTGGCAATTACCAAAGACACGGCTCTGCTAGCTTGTGACCCTCGCTTTAGGTCACTTTGTCTCACCCCCTATAAAGTACAGAATATTACTGAAGTGCGCCTACAACTCGCACACTATATTCACGGCCACTGGAATCGTTGGATCGTCACTTACCTACTCCGGACAGGCATAATTATTCTTCTCTTTCTACTTCTTAAATGCCTTGTTCTTCGTTCCCACAGTCAGAAAAAATTCAGTCACTCAGTGTATCAGGCCCTCAGCAATTGACGAAGATGATTCCAACCTGCCCTATGAAGCCTGACAGACTTGGCTTGCACAAATGTACGAGGCCTCCTACAGATAATTCCCCATCTCGACTGATCCCCTGGGACAATACCCCTTGGAGGGCTGGTAGTCAATGTGGTTATTTCAGTGATACAGCTTTAAAGTGTGACCTTCTGTGGGTTTTTGAGTGATGTACCCTCCTTAGAATTTCCCAACTTTTGCCCATTGTCTAGACTACTGCAAGTACCTGTAATAAATTTGTTGCTTCACCAAGCCAGGCTTGTGTCAAATCATTTCTTTAGTCTACTGTTGGTTCCCTACCTGTTGTAGCAGGAGGCCTCCAAAGATGGTGCCGACCCAGAGCCCTGGGATTCAGCGAGAAATCCCTTCACTTCTTGGTCCGCAAATAGCCCGCCAAAAGGAGCCCACGCCTCTGTACCCTGCTCAGGAGCCCAGTGACTGCTGACAGACTGCGTGGCGCAGACCAATCAGAAAACGATACACTGACTAAAGGGACTTAGGGGCGGAGAAAAGGGAAAGACTGGATGTTAAAGTTGAGATGATGGGAACAGAAAAAGGTTTTAAATAATAGAAGGCATTAACAATAGGTTCTGTCATCATACTGAGAAACAGAACATGGCCATTCCTAATATCTGCAGTAGCAGAAACAGTAAACCTATAGTTGCAACCAGATAGCAAGCAGGACCTTGGAACAAGTGTGGGCTGTGTGGGGCTGCACATACATAACAAACACTGAATTCTGAATTGTACTCAGAATCACGGCGGTCAGGACATCTCCATAGCAGCAGGGTGAACCGGCAAACACTGAAGCCTTGGCTTCCCCAGCAAGCATCTCCTCCCAGTCCATATAGTGTTCAACAGATGAACATGACAGAATTCACTTGAAGTTCCTGTCTCCATGATGAGCCTTTAAAAAGATCCAACCTCATTGTAACTTAAAAAGCCAGGTCCAGGCTGGGCGTGGTGGCGCATGCCTGTAGTCCCAGCACTTGGGAGGCAGAAGCGGAGCTCTGTGAGTTCAAGGCAAGCCCTGGTCTATATAGTGAGTTCCAGGACAGCTGGGGCTACAGGGAGACCCTGTCTCAAAAAAAAAAAGCCAGGTCCAGTGATACAAGCCTATGCTCCAGCTACTCAGGAGGCTGAGGCAGGATCACAAGTTCAAAGCCTTTCTGGGGTAAGGAGTGAATTCAAGGCTAGTGTGATAATTTGGGTAGACACTGTCTCAAAACCAAAATAATTTTTTTTATTATTTTTATTTTATGTGTATGAGTGTTATGCCTGCATGTAGGTAAATGCAATGCCTACGGAGGACAGAAGAGGCTGTCGGATCCCCTGGAACTGGAGTTACGGACAGCTGTTAGCTGCTGTGTGGGTGCTAGGATTTGAACCCGGGTCTTCTGCAAGAACAGTCAGTGTTCTTTAACCGCTGAGCCATCTCTCCAGCCCCAAAACCAAAATAATTTTTTAAAAGGCTGTGGATATAGCTCAGCAGTAAAGCACCTATGTAGCATGCATGAGGCCCTAGGTCTTAGCTCCTCTAGTACTGGGTGGGAACAAAAGAGGAAATTGCAATTTAAGAGCCAGTCCTTTCAGTTGGTGACAGTAAGTAAGAATAACTGGAAAGACGTGGTTTTGCACTTAGAATCTAAAAAGAAAGGAAGAGCTGGTCTTCACTTTTTCCCTTTAATTTATAATTTGACAGCAACAGTATTAAATGAAATTACCAGATTTAAAACCCTTTTATAGGGGCTGGAGAGATGGCTCAGTAGTTAAGAGCACTGACTACTTTTGCAGAGGACCCAAGTTTGATTCCCAGCACCCAAATGACAGCTACAAACCGTCCTTAACTCCAGTTCCAGGGGAATCTGAAGCCCTCTTCTGACCTCCAAGGCACTGCATGACACAGGTACACTCACATACATGCAGACAACACACTCATACATGTAAAATAAAAATAAATTTTTTTAAAAACCCTTTTATAAATTATAAACAAAGTAATTCTATAGGAAATTTTTTAAAAACATAACCTACTAAATAATCAAAATTTTCATTTCTGTATATTGTATAATGACTGTACAGTCATTTTCATATGTACATAGCTTTATAAAAATTAACTTTTAAAAATTATTTTATATGTTTTTTGTGTTTTACCTGCATGCATATAAGTATACCACCTGCATGCAATGTCCTCAGAGGTCAGAAGAGGACCTCATATCCTCTAGAACTGAAGTGACAGGCAATTGTTAGCTACCATTGGGTGCTAGGAACTGAACTTCGGTCTTCTGCCAGAGCAGCCCGTGCTCTTAAATGCTAAACCAACTCTCCAGCCTCTAAATTTACTTTAAAAAATTATTTGTGTGTGTGTGTGTGTGTGTGTGTGTGTGTGTGCGTGTGTGTGTGTGTGCGTATGCACATGTGTATGTGGTTACGGGTATCTGTGCACATACAGAGACCAGAAGAAAAAGCTGGGTTTTTCAGAGTTGGAATTACAAGTATTTGTAGGATGCCCAGCTAGTTACATGGTGCTGGGATTCGAACTCTGGTCCTCATGACTGTGCAGCATGGGTTCTTAAATACTGAGCCATCTCTACAGCTCCCATACATACATACATTTTTTATAGTAGCAATTATAATGTGTACACTGATCTATATACATTTCACTTTCATTTCACATTTTAACAAAAAACACTTTTGATGTTGCTAATCATAATCATTATTTTAATATCATAATGTGTTATTTGCCTAACTTAAGATAGTTATTTTGAGGCCAGGTGTGGTGGCTCATGCCTTTAATCCCAGCATTTGAGGCAGCAACAGCAGAGACAGGCAGATCTCTGTAAAGTTAGAGGCCAGCCTGGACTACACAGCAGTTCCAGGCCAGCCAAGGATATATAGTGAGACCCTGTCTCAAGAAAAAAATGTTATTTTGTATACAGTTGAACTTATTATAAATAACATTACAGCAGATATATATATATATATATATATATATATATATATATATACACACTTTTTAGTGTGTGCCCTCACATCATGTGCCAAGGTGCATGTGTGGAGGTCAAAGGGATTGGTTCTCCTTCTACCATATGGTCCCAAGTCATCAGGCTTATCTGCAGGTGCCTTTACCCACTGAACCATCTAGCCAACCTTGTTTTGTTTTTTACATCTCCCTATGTCCTTAGCAATTATTAGGCTGAAATATGAATATTTTTATGGCCTTTTTCCTAATGCTATCTTTTTTTTCCAGGTACATTATGATGTCCTGCATTGTAAAAAGCTTCATTTAAAGTAGATATAAACTAGGATTTCAGTTAATGGGCCTGTCTCCAGGTGAGCAGAAGACCAGAAAACCCACTGGAATGGTAGCCATGTTCTAGCACACTAACAACAACAAAAAATTCCATTATCCTTCCTTCTCTCAGTAGATGTGGCCTCCAGTCACGCAGAATCCTTTATGCCTTGCTTCCTCACAATCTGTTAGATGGTCGGATAACACAAAATATAGAACAAATAATCTTCCATTCTCATACCTGTTGGCCAGTCACCTGAAATGTCTCTTCTGCATGTATGCAGGTTATTTCAAGTGGTTCTGTGCCAGATATATGCCGCAACAATTGACAGGCCTGAAAAAAACATGCCACAGTTCAACTCAGAGGATCACATGATAAGAAAATGAAACTTTACAAAACCTTTAAGAATGGATTAGTACAAGACTGAGGTCTAAAGCAGGAACAAATGCAGGCATAGCATACTACTTCGCTATCTGGTAGTAGCAAGTGGTCAGGGAATATTAGAGCCAGGAGGAATCTTTAAAAGGGTCTGGTAGTACACACAGTTTCTGCATTGGGCTCCAGAGTCCACTGTTAACTGTTGGACTTACTACAAACTACATATTCTTTTTCTTTAATGTTTTATTTTTTTAAATAAATTTATTTATTTATT